CTGATTGGTAGTACTGCATGAGGGGAGAGTGCTGATTGGTTGGTAAGTAGACTGTGATTGGTAACAGCATGGCCATGAAGAACGCACCAGTTAATGATGATTGAAAGTTAGCTGCAAGGCTTTGTTTAAATTTGAAACTAGATGGGGTGACTCTGATTGGTCAAGCAATTACCCTGAGAAACGAACTGTCACCTGAAAAGGGGTTGAATTGAAAGTATAAAGAAAATATAAAGGTGCCTGTTGTTGAACATTTACATGACACCGGGTGGCTGCCATCCTAAAGATCATTTGAGTGCACTTTGATCTTCAAGTACTTTTGACTGGATTGCTGGGGGTAATTGTTAAATTTTAGCTCTTTGCCAGCACAGCAGCTTAGGAACATTAATTACCTCTTTACGCCGTAGGCCATGTTAAGTAAATTGTCCAGCCTGTGAAAGAGAAGGAGACGGAAGGAAGGGTGGATGTTAGTATGTATGAAACAGTAGTCTTTATTTGAAGAGAGAGAAAGAGTGACAGCGAGAAAGACGAAAGACAGCACAGCAGATATACAGCATCAGGTACATATCACAACATATAACGAAACAATTCCAACCACACCCTCTCCAGCAATATGGGATTAACATGACTGCTGAATTTACATGGCACAGAAAGGACTGTCTGAGTTTGGTTGTACCACTGCACTAGAGTGTGTAACAGAAAAATTGCCTCGCTGACGATAACTTGCCAAATTACTTCTTCTCAACTGCAGGTGTCTATTTTCTCACAAACAAAGATTGGATTTAAAAGGAAGAAACAAGTTTAATTTTGTATCAGCTTGGGCTCGATATTGTAGTTGGTGCAACATCTGAGTATACCTCACTTACATTCAGATGCAGGATAAGTCAAGAGTTCAGTGTCTAACCCATTCTCCTCACCTCCATGAGAAGCAGAATCGACAGCAAGGAAACAAAATCATATCTAAAGTAGATGCCAGATTCCTAATTGTTTTGCTTTAAGTGCTGTGAAAAGCAGGGCTATAGTGCGCAGAGAGTCTGTCATCTCATTCCATGCTGCATCTTCAGGGTGTGGGTGTCATGGGTGTACCCAATGTTTGTTGCATATCCCTAATTACTCTTGAATGGTGGAGAGGAGTGCCTCCTTCACCAGCTGTTGATTTGTCTGGGTCCTGTAGAGGGCAGTGTAGAGTCAAACCTATTGATATTGGAACTGGAGTCATCTACAGGTTTACCTCCCTAAAAGGCTTCACTGTTAGCAACTTATTTCCCAATTTTCTTTTTCTTACAAATACAATTCATATTCTCAAGCTATTGTGATCTGAGCTCAAGTCCGCTGGATTATTAACGTCTATGTTGGCACTATGTCTTCTGTACGTTGGCGCAATGTTTTTGGTATGTTTCTGAATGTTGGCACTGGGCCACGTGAAGGTCTCCCTTTCTCAACCTCTCCCCTCACCTGAGGTATGGTGACCCTCACGTTAAACCACCACACCAGTTGTCTCTCTGTCTCTCATGAGCGAGCAGCACTATGCTCTGGTAGGACAATGGCGAATTTGCCTTCAGCTTTACTAGGCCACATGCATTTTGTCTGGGTTTAACTGACTACACTGCACAGTATTTTTCCCTTTGTATTGAGCAGTTGATATGGGCAGAGTTGGTCGCAGTCCACTAAGAAACACATATCTCTGAAGATGTCAATCTATAGTGTTCTTGTAGAACAGTGTTAAGCTTAAGAATTTTCTGAAAAATCAATGAGGATTTACTGATGGAAGCAGCTGCTCTCCTTGTGTGAATTGGCACAGTTATTGTTCATAAAATCACAGCGTCATATAGCACAGAAACAGGCCCTTCAGCCCACCAAAACTAAACTAACAACTACCAAACACCAATCCCATTTACCTTCCCCGGTCCATTGTTGTTGCGTACTTTATGTGTTTAATTTGCCTCAGAGCAACAAAGTGATGACACTAGCGTCTTAAGTATGCAGGAATTTTTTTTTAACAGAGGTTTATACATTGTTTGAAAATGTCTGCATCACACTTCCAGCGGCTTTCTGTAGAGTCTGCTCATTTATCTCAGAGTCCTTATCCAGTTCCTAACCAACCGGGCATGGTGAGCATCAATAGTCAACAGACCTTAGACTGTGATAAAAGGAGTCCTGAAGTTGAAGCTTTTCATTGGAATACCCTCAGGCATGGGAGCAGAAGTTGGCCATTCAGCCCATGGAGCCTGCTCCACCATTCAATGAGATCATGGCTGATCTGGTATTCCTCAGCTCATTTTCCTGCCTTTTTCCCTATCCAGACCAGGATGCAAGGAACTGACTTCATTAGAGAAACACGATACTCTACAGAATGAGGAAAGGGTGCTGATTGGTTGAGCCATAATTGGCATGGGGATGCAATAAGAACAGTGAGCTGCCAATCTTAATTCTCAGGCTAGACTCCCTAACCAATCAGAACTTCATAGAATCCCTTCAGTGTGGAAGCAGGCTATTCCACCTATCTCGTCCACACCACTGACCATCTGCAGAGCATCCATCCAGACCCGTTACCCACTAACCCCCCCCCCAACCTTACTCCCTGTAATCCTGCATTTCCCATGATTAATCCACCTCACCTACACATCCCTGGGTAATTTTATCCTGGCCAATCCACCTAATCTGTTGGAAGAAACCAGAGCACCCGGAGGAAACCCTCGCAGACATGGGCAGAATGTGCAAAAACTACCACACAGCCAATCGCCCGAGGCTGGAATCTATGCTGGGTCCCTGGCACTGTGAGCCACTGTGCTGCCCTGCACCTACCTGCCTGGTCTGAAAATTGAGACAAAAAAGACAATTTCACATTTACATTTCATTTGCTAAACATTGTCTGTCCACTTAACCTATTTATATCCCATTGTAGCCTCCTTAGTGTCCTCTCAACCAGCTAATTTCCTGCCTTTCTTTGTGTCATCAACAATTTTAATTACCACATCTTAGATCCCTTCATCCAAGCTATTAATATCAATTGTACAAAGTATAGGCTCAGCACTGATTCTCATGCCACACCACATATTATATCTTGCCAAAGTGAAAATGAACCAATGATGTCTATATTGTTTCCTATTGGCCAGCTAACCTTCCATCTGTGTTCATATATTACTCGCTATACCTCAAGCTTTCATTTTCTCCAAAATGCCTTCTGGGAATATAAATACACGACATTCACTGGTTCCCCGTTATCCACCTCACATGTTACTTCTTCAAAGTACTTGAATAAATTTGTTAAACATGATTTTCCTTTCACAAAACCATGTTGACTCTGCCTGATTATCTCAAATTTACCTAAGTGCTCTGTTAAATGTCTTTAACGATTGATTCTAACATTTTCATATGGCAGATATTAGGCCTGTAGATTCCTGCTTTCAGTCTCCCTCTTTCCTTTTTTAATAAAAGAAGTGACTTTCGCCATTTTCCAAAACACCCCCGAACCTAGGGAATTTTGGAAAATCAAATTCGATGCATCAACTGCTTCGCTGTCCGTTTCTTTTATGAGACTGCGAAATGTAGTCTTCAATGGATAAATGGGAAACAAATCCAGTTGTCCCTGAGTGCAGTGACGTTCTGAATCTTTAAGGAGGTTGAAGAGCTTAAATTCAACAAGTTTGGAATGAAGACAGTGGTGACGTAGATAAGTGAACATGAGACATTAGAGTTGAAGGTAAGCTCAGAGGCTTGGCAGCGACTTCATTGCCCTAAAGGCAAGACATGGTGAAAACCCTAAACTGTTACTATTACTGGAGTGACTGCACAGAGGCTGGCACCAAATCACTCTTTATTTACTTGTGCACAGTACACTGGCTGTGCCCAGTCAGCTTGGATTCAGTCTCCTGAACTGAGGAGATTCTAATCTCCTGGTTATATTGGTCAGCCAAGGCTTTCATGATTGGCCCAGGTTAACAACCCTAATCAACAACCTTGTTCCAATCACTACAATTATAAAACCCGAAACGGCACAAAATTCCATGACGTTGGATTCCTACTGGAGTCGTTGACTTCCAAAGAAATGGCTCTCTGTTGTTAGCTGTTCAGGGAGTGGAAAACTTCCATCAAGAGATTCTGACTGCGATCAAAATATTTGAGCAGTGAAAACATGCTCATATCAAGTCCTGGTTAGCCCTTCAGTTTTTATTTTGAGGCCAAATTTGTTCAAAGTGATTTACCTCAAAACGATGTTCCAAATGCTGTTAAAATGCCAAGACTTCTAGTGTTCAGAATGCAAGGTTCTAAGGCTCTGGGCCATCCAAGTCAATTCAGCAGTCATGGGTCTACATGTCACTCTCTAACCTGGCCCTGGTGCGTGATGACAAATCTGGTTGCCTGTGCCAATCTGACAGAAGGAGACCTATAATGCACAGGGCCATGTTGGACAGGGCCAGCAAAAGCAAGCAGGAGTCAATCATGGCGTCTTACCTGAATCGCTGTGCCTGGTGATGCAGGGGACCAGGGTACCGCCGGCTCGTGGACTGGTACAGCTGAGAGAGCAGTGCCTGGCCAGTCTTTTGACTGGGGTTGTTTGCGAATTTCACTGTGATAGGCTCAGTTGCCCCTAGGGGTTTCTGTCCATTCAGCCCCTTGATTGCTTCCTCTGCCTCTATCCTCTTGTCAAATCGAATGAAGCCAACCCCTCGAGAGACGCCTGATTGGGAAAAGGCAGAAAGTTGACGGTGTCACAGTTGAGAAACGGTCTACAGTTCACATTACCTGAGACACTCACTATCATGTACTCACTTAGATTGAAATACTTCTTTAAACACATTCCAATTTATTTCTCTTCCCCCTTGCCTCTCTCTTTGTCTTGCTTTAGACTTGAAATACAGAAGGTGTGCTGCACTGTCAGAGGGGCCCACTTTCAGAGGAGATTTTAAATCTAGGCCCTGGTTGTGATCCAGTATTCAAAGATGTGTTTTCCCCACGATCTACTGGTAATATTTATCACTTAATGTTACTGATACAGGTAAAATAAAAACAAAATACAGCCAGGCACCAGAGATCTAACACAAACAAACAGAAATTGCTGCAGAATCTCAGCAAATCTGCAGAGAGAGACTGTTTTGAGTCAGAAATGATTCTTCCTCAGGAGAAGATTATTCTTCATATTGGACTCGAAATGACAACTCTGTTTCTCTCTCTCTCTCTCCACAGATCTGTCTCCAGCACTTTCTGTCTTAATTTTTACCAATACAGGTGACACAGTCATAGAATCATAGAGCTGTACAGCTCAGAAACAGACCCTTCGGTCCAACTCATCCATGCTGACTAAATATCCTAAATAAATCTAGTCCCATTTGCCAACATTTGGCCCATATCCCTCTAAACCCTTCCCATAAATATACCCATGCAGATGCCTTTTAAATGTTGTAATTGTACCAGCCTCCAGCACTTCCTCTGGCAGCTCATTGTTATATTGTGGCTTGTGGGAGCTTGCTGTGCTGAAATTTGCTGCTGCCTTTCTGACATTACATTACAGAGTAGCTAAAGTCCTTTGGGAGTTCTCCAACTCTCAGTTTTGCTGAGGTATTATTTCATGACCACCTATTACCCTCCCAGTCAACCTCCGTGCCTGAGTTCAAAGCATGATGGTCGCTTGACTACGTAGGATGTGGCAGATGAGGTAAATTTATCATTCAATGGACGTTCCCATTTTTCCATGATCTATTAGGATTCACTTGATGGATGAGGCGTGGGACCCTAGGTTGATGTTACCCTCTCTATCCCCATCTGCAGCATCTCTACCACTCAAAGATTGAGCTGTCTAACCAGGCAATAAGGACCGAGAAGAGCTGCTACTGACCTACAGTTAAGGTTTCTCACAGAGGTGGCAATACATAAAGATATATGATGTTAAATTTGTTGTACATCCATTCAGAGGATGAGGGCATCGCTGACTCGGCCATTTATTGCCCATCCCTAACTGCCCAGGGGGCAATTAATCACATTGCTGTAGGTCTGGAGTCACATGTAGACCAGAGCAGGTAAGGACATTAGTCCTCCCCTAAAGGAGGATCATAAAGTAAATGGGTTTTTCCTGACAATCAGTTCATGGTCATCGTTAGATGCTTGATACCAGATTTGTTTCTTATTTGAATTCACATTCCAGCATTCGAACGCAGATCCCCAGAACATTATTAAAAAAATGAAAAAACTGCGGACGCTGTTGATCAAAACCAAAAACAGAAGTTGCTGGAAAAGCTCAGTGGGTCTGGCAGCATCTGTGGAGAGAAGTCAGTGTTAATGTTTCGGGTTGAGTGACTCTGCTCAGCATAGTGTCACTCGATCTGAAATGTTAGCCCTGATTTCTCTCCTCAGGTGCTGCCAGACTCACTGAGCTTTTCCAGCAACTTTAGCTTTCGTCCCCAGAACATTACCTGGGTCTCTGGATTAACAGGCGAGCAATAATACCATGAGGCCATCACCTCCCCACTGGCTAGTGGCATTGCGTCAGATACATTAACAAAGTAAGTTTCTGGCTCTCAAGCAGGTGGGGAGGATGTGAGGTGGTCTCGGATTACCCTGAAGTGACCTAGGCCCACAGGCACTCTGAAATCTGATAGATCCTAGGTAATCCCAATTGAAAATCTAGTGACTCCATCTCTTGAACAGTGGAACCAGGGGTCGTGTGTTGAACAATCTAACCTCGCTGGGTCACATGACTGGATTTTTTGCTGAGTCCCACTGATTCTGATGGCATTTGAAAGTGGCCAAATACTTTTTTCAGATGAAGGACTGGGTGTGGGGGAGCAAGCTAACCTGACTGGCTGTTTTGAGGTATTTATCTCCCAATCCCATGCAATGTTCATGGAAAGCTTTTGTGGGGGATGGGGTCTTGTCCTTGACTTGTGGTTCAGGGTCCCTCTGCGGACCCGTGTACCATTATCCAGATTTCTCTCGGAGAAAAGTAAATATCTTCCCCCTCACACCCCTCTCCCCGAATGTCTACTTCCTCTGAGCCCTCACATTGTCCATGCAAACTCATGCCCCGTCCCATGCTCAGGATGCACACAACCGACACCAACATCATGTCTCAAAACATATACTCAGAAATGTTCTTTGAAAAGAAACCGTTGTTGCTACAAGCCTACGAAAATGTCAATCAGACAGACTATGAAAGTTTGAAAGCTTCGAAAATCTTCACACCTCTTATTCTCACCCAAGTAAACATTGAGACGTTGGCAAAGGAGACCACAAAAAGGCCAATTTATCATATCCTCTTAAAGGTGTCAATCAAGCAAAGCTAACAATTTATTTCAGCAACGGAGATTCCTGATGAGCTAATGGTCTCGGCTAAAGGTGTAAAATGAGGAAGGTGGAAAATCAGGTGCCAAGGGGAATGGCTGAGGAGTTTGGGCAGTAGGTGGTATTGAGTTGGCATGAAGGATACAAGTGACCATGGTGAGTTGGGTAGAAGGGGAGGTGGTGTGAGGGCTAGAGGGTCAAACTGTTTTTATGACTGGGATGACATCGCTGAGAACAGAGAAGGTCCTAACCAGCCCAACACTTTGGCAGCATGGGATCAATTTCTGGTGTTGGAGGGTCCAACTCTGTCTCACCTCTGCCCAAACCTCCCACACTCTCCCGTCCTAAAGTTTGAATAGATGTATCACACTGAGGTGGGTCCAACAGTACAGAAAATTTCCTTGATAGTGAAAATCCAGCCCTAGGGTCATTGTGGCACTTAAGGAGGCCATCTGGCCCATCGAGGCCATGCCAACCATATCACTGCTTATACATTGTCTTAAATGTGAGGTGTTGCATTTTGGTAAGGCAAATCAAGGCTGGATTTATACACTTAATGGTAGGGTCCTGGGGAGTGTTGCCGAACAAAGAGATCTTGGAGTGCAGGTTCATAGTTCCTTGAAAGTGGAGTCACAGGTAGACAGAGTAGTGAAGAAAGTATTTGGTATGCTTGCCTTTATTGGTCAGGGCATTGAGTATAGGAGTTGGGAGGTCATGTTGTGTCTGTCTAGGACATTGGCAAGGCCATTTTTGGAACACTGCGTGCAATTCCAGGCTCCCTGCTATAAGAAAGATGTTGTTAAACTTGACAGGGTTCAGAAAAGATTTACCAGGATATTGCCAGAGTTGGAGGGTTTGAGCTATAGGGAGATGCTGAATAGGCTGGGGCTTTTTTCCCTGGACCGTCGGAGGCTGCGGGGTGAACTGACAGAAGTTTATGAAATCATGAGGGTCGCAGATAGGGTGAACAGCAAAGGATTTTTCCCAGTTTAGGGGAGTCCAAAACTAGAGGGCATAGTTTTAAAGTGAGAAATTTTAAAGAGACTGAAGGGGCAATTTTTTCACACAGAGGATGGTGCATGTATAGAATGAGCTGCCAGAGGAAGTGGAGGAGGCTGGTACAATTACAACATTTAAAAGGCATCTGGATGGGCACATGAATAGGAAGGGTTTAGAGGGATATGGGCCAAATGCTGGCAAATGGGACTAGATGAATTTAGGATATCTGGTCAGCATGGATGAGTTGGACTGAAGGGTGAGTTTCTGTGCTGTACAGCTCTAGGACTCTACTCTTTTGAATGTTGGCAAGGTTTTATTGCCCAGATTCAAGAGTTCCAGTTGGCCAGCAAGACTTTCTGAAGGCTTCTGTGAGACCCCAGTCCCGTGTAGCTCTGTGCATGGTAAATGTGACATTTGTTAAACTCAATATATGGTGTTGGCCTTTGCCTTGACTGGATCTCATTCAGGGTATTAAAGATTGCCACTTCCAATCCTACTGCTCCAGGGTTGAGAGGGGACTGTTGATTTTGATTCAATATTGAAACTTCTTCTTTATTTCTGGTTAGATTGGTGCATTCCACCTTGAAAGGAGGTGACTGGCAGAGGACTGCACACCAGGGATATATGTCAAGCTAAACATGTCACACATGATGGTCCAGGTTCAAACCAATGAAAGGTAAATATGTTTAGTTCTTCAAATAAGGAACAATCAAATGTTGGACTCAATCACAGGGCAGAGGAGTGAAAAGGGCTTGGAAGGATTTGACAACATTGCAATGATTCAGAAGTTGATAGGCAAGGATACCAACTCAATTTTACTTGCGATCTTCCAATAGTTGATGATAAAGTATTTTTTCACTGTGATGGTAGTCTAGATACAATTAAACACATTTGGAAATGACACATTTGAAACTTTTCACCTGGCTCTCACCAGGACAATTCACAAGACTATCAATTTAAGGGGAAGCCAACATTTCTACACTCACACAATATAAATGTTTGTTTCTCTTTAAATTAGTCATTCTTGCAAATGGTCCTGATGAGTGCAGATGAAAAGCTTTGGGCAAATGTGCCTTTTCTGTGCATGCTAAACAACTTGTTGAGTTTGATGAAGGAATTTTTTTTTCTTTGAACTACGCTAAAAAGAATGGGATTGGCAGAATGAACGTGATCCATACCTGATCAGAGCAATCCAATGTTGTGGATAGATAAGCCCGGTCTGCAGGCTCATTGATCTATCAAGCTGTCGTTAGTCCCTGACCATCGACTGGTGGAGGGTAGAAGCTGGGTCTTACCTGTAACTTGGTCGACGAGGATGCGTGAGGTGATGATTCTGCCATATTGTGAAAAGAGTTGCTCCATCTCTTTCTGGCTCATGGTCTTGGGAAGCCCACTGACGTAGAGATTGGCATCTCGAATGGAGGCAGAGCTGGGCCGGGCATATGAGACCTGGAACATGGAAATGGTGACACTCAAAACGTAGCCGTCTCAAATATTTTCATGGAAGAAGGGGAAAGGGTGGAATTTTCTTGCTCCTGGTCTTCTATTGAGAATGGTGCTTTCATTTATGGGGATAATAAGATAGACAGTGAGTCCTGGATTCTGATTATCACATGGATCATGTCAGCGATCAAGATGCAGAATCCTTTAATGGCTAAGTGGAACTGGTTCGGAGTTGATTGAGAGCAGTTGATGGTTATTGGACTTTGTATTTAAGAGTTGTGTTCTCCCCTCCATCTGAGGGCAGCATGGTGGCTCAGTGGTTAGCACTGCTGCCTCACAACACCAGGGACCTGGGTTTGATTCCACTGTCGGATGACTGTGTGGAGTTTGCATATTTTTCCTGTATCTGCATGGGTTTCCTCCAAGTGCTCTGGTTTCCTCCCACAGTCCAAAGATATGCTGGTTAGGTGAATTGGCCAATTGCACGTAGTGTCCAGGGATGTGCAGGCTAGGTGGAAATGCAGAGGCTGGGGAATAGGGTAGGAGGCAGGTTTAGGCGGAATGCTGTTCGGAGGATCGGTGAAACTTGATGGGCCGAATGGTCTGCTTCCACACTGTAGGGATTCTAAGATTCCATTTTGATTTAGCCCCTTCCCTTTCTCCCTATCTCCCTCTCACTTTGATGGTTTGCATTGATCTTAATCAGCTTCGCATGTAAATATTTGATTGGCTGCACTGATAGAGGTTAATAGTTAAAAACAGGAAAAAAGTCACGGTGATTTGCTGGTGGGAAAGTCACTCAGTTGTGTGTGATAGCACTTCCAGATATATAGAGTAAAGAAAAAGAGTTCGATTCTCCCCTTTCAACTCCATTTTGATTTAGTCCCTTCCTGTTCTCCCTAAATCTCCCTCACCTTTGACAGATTGCATTGGGGTTTGTGATTAATTGTTCGATTAGCGACACATTGGGTTAATAAGAAAAAGAAAACCACACTGATTTGGTATTGGGGAGCAAGAAGCGTTCAATTGTGTGTGGTAGCACTCCTGGGTATAAAAGAAAGAGTTGGGGTCTGGAATTAGAAACTTGAGTGATTAACCAGTGGTGATTAATAAATTAAAAAAAAAACACGGTGATTTGATGATAGAGAAAAGAAAGCAATCAGTTGCCTGTAGCAGCAATTCCGAAGTGGAGTGCTTTACCTCACCTCTCAACTCCATCCTGATTTAACCCTCTCCCCCTTCCCCATACCTCTCCCTCAGCTTTAGTGGTTCCCATTGCCCTTAAAGGGCTTTGCCTGTTAATTGTGTGATTGCAAGCATGGGCCATTTACTGACGGTGTGTAATAAATGAAAGAAAATACCAGGGGGTGATTTGGTTGTGGGGAAAACAAGATGCTCGGTGGTGTGTAAGAACAATTCTGGACAGAGAAAAACAGAGTTGGGTTCTAACAGGTACAGGGATGTGATTCCTGCTTCGGGACTCGTTTTGATACCTGAGAGGTTCTGTGTTCGAATCCCGGACAGGCCCTGATTCTTTAACCTTGGTTCGGGGCTACTGTGATGCGGTGGTAGTGTCCCCACCTCTCGACCAGGAGGCACAGGTTCAAGTTCTACCTGCACCAGACGTGTGTGGTCGCAACTCTGAACACGTTGATCAGAAAATAAGAATTGGGTCCTTCTCTTGGTGCCTTGAGAGAGAGAGGTGATAGGCTGAAGTGCACTATGTCCCCCTTGACTACATTTTCAATTGAACACCCTCCCCCTTCCTCTCTTCTTCACCTTCATCGTTATTGTTACTGTTGCACTGCTCCTGGTGTCTGTTTTAATTTGTTAACTCGCTAGTCGGTTTACGTTATGTATAAAAAATGAATTGGGTTCTTTGGGCCTACTCCTAGGCCTGGCAAAAGTATGTACTAATGGGTCCAAGCAAGTACACATGACGGGATCTTAATTCCCCAAATGCTTGTCCCTCTTTCGTAGATGGCGAGGGAGCAACAGTGCCCACAGGTACCCTCGAAGCTTTTCAGGATTGATGGGCACCAAAGGGGCTGGGATGGATTTTGTCCACTTTCCCTCCTCCCCACAGAACTATTTTTGATTTTGAGACTCTTGCTTCCTCCTCTTGCTTTTTTTTCAGTTTCTTTGGCGTTTGGTTATTGTTTGAGCGGAACAGCATGTGATATTGGTTTATTTGAATTTTGGCTCATTTTAAACAGAGAAACCAAAAGAACTGAGTTTGCCCTTAGTGGTGCATTGGCTTTAGAGCAGAGAGAAAGGTGGAACCTGGTGTTTGTGTTAATCTGTAAGCTTTTGCTGCCTAATTCAAACACACGGGTATTGGTCTGTGAACCAGAGCATATCATGGTTTGGTTGTTCTTGCCTTTAACTGTACCTGAAGATTGCAACTACTCTTGATCTCAGTACCTGCAATGGATGATTAAACTTTTTATTGCTGAAAAGAGAGAGGTTGCTTTACATCATGTGCTCTTCAGGACAAAAGCAAGAATGTCAATTTTTCAAATAGTCACAATTTAAATGAAGGAGAGAAGGGTACTAATTGGTTGGCAGGTTGGTTTTGATTGGACAAGGCATTAGCATGAAGAAAACAAAGTCCAGCCTTTAACTCCTGCCATATAAATTGTTACATGAGGGTTTGAAATTTGGTGTTCATGCATTTGTCCTGTTGAATGCAAGGCAAAAAGCGTCAGCAACCTGTCTCTCTTATCATCAATACACTGACTTCTGTTACATTTAGATTTCCTGAACCCACGGAGTGCTGTCATTTTAGGCCGTGGGTTGGTGGGAGCAGCAAATGTGGAAGGAAGAGCAATTTATGTCTGATATCCAGAGGTTCTGCACACGAAAAGTCATCAACACTTGGAACTGACTTCAGTCTGGGCTATGGTGAGACAGCATGTTATTTTAGGAACTGATCTTGTTTGCTACACAAGGGCATGTACGTATGGCTCTTGTCAGCTATTTCCAGTGTCATGGGAATATTGCATCCGTTCCTCCCTTTGATTAGGCCTTAACAGCTTTGGAGGCCAACTTTGACAATGCTTTTAAACAAACCTGAGAGCCACTTGAATGTTTAGAACCCCTGAAGTGTGGGAGGAGGCCATTCGATCCATCAAGGTCTGCACCAACCCTCCAAAGAACATCTCACCCTATGCCCCATATCCGCACATTTCCCATGGCTAATCCATCTAGTCTGCACATCCCTGGACAACTTAGCATTGGGCAATCCACCTAAGCCTGCACATCTTTGAACTGCGGGAGGAAACCCACGCACACAAAGGGAGAACACACAAACTGCACACAGATAGTGACCCGAGGCTGGAATTGAACCCAGGTCCCTAGCACTGTGAGGCAGCGGTGCTAACCACTGAGCCACCAAGCAGCTAACCAACTGAAAGCTGCTGACTCCTCTGCTCCATTTTAAAAGAGCTAAATTGAGATGAAAGCCTCGCGTTCTGTGATGGCGCGCTGAAGAAAGGAGGAGGTGAGTGTCTCGCTTTTCGCTGGGTGCTCCCGATCCTGTTCAAACAAGCCATTAATTGCCAGCTACACAGAACAGATTGTGTAGCAGAGTCCTGCTGTAATGACCTACCCATAATCCCTCTCGCATTCACTACACAAGCCATTGCCATCCCAGGAGAATGCTGCAGCTAATTTTACTCCAGTAATGATGCAGTTCCTCCATCTGTCAGACAAACAGCCTTTTAAAGGGGAGCTTGCCTCATCCAGCACACATGAAAGACAAGCAAAGGCCCATGCTATGAACTCAGGCAGTCATTACAGCTGCACCCCCATGGGATGAGGTACAAAATGTTTCGTAAATTAACCTTAAGGGAACTACATCTCCATGGCAACCTCCGACACACGAACGTCTTCGCTCGCTGTCAAAGATTTGGCCCCCGCGTCTTTTCTCATTTAGAAAAAGAAAAATTAAACGAGAACTGAAGCACAATGGTTTCTGAAAATAATTTTTTTTATCAGGGGCGGGGAGGGGTCTGGCTGCGTTGGGGATGGGAAGGACGGGCAGGGTAGGTGAAAATCCACCTTGCATGAGATGTCAGCCATTTGTGTGTGTTTGTGTTCAGCCTCTCTCCTTGTGAGTTAAAGTGTGTGTGTGACTGTGTGTGTGTGTGTGTGTGTGTGAGCGTGTGAGTGAGTGAGTGTGTGAGTGAGTGTGTGTGTGTGTCTGAGTGTGTGCATGTGTGTGAGAGAGAGTGTGAGCGTGTGTGTGTGAATGTGTGTGTATGAATGTGTGTATGTGTGTGAGAGAGAGTGTGAGCATGTGTGTGTGAGCGTGTGTGTGTGTGTGTGTTTGTGTAAGTGTGTGTGTTTGTGTAAGTGTGTGTGTGTGTGTGAGAGGGTGTGTGTGACTGTGCGCGTGTATGTGTGAGAGAGAGGGTGTGTGTGACTGTGAGCGTGTATGTGTGAGAGAGAGGATGCATGTGACTATGAGTGTGTGTGAGTGTGTGTGTCTTTATCTGTGTAAGTCTTCCTCCTCTTATTTTCTCATTGTCTTTCAAGGCAAGAAAACATCAGTGAGTTTGTGATTAGCTGTTATCATATTCACACAAATTGATGTCTCATCTTTGGTAGCTGAATGTCTGCGATCATGCCTAAGTTGCTCTGAGATCAAGTGGACAAGGGTTAAAATGAATGATGCTCAAAGTATCTTTGCCTCATGTTTCCTTGTTCTGACTCACCTTGTCATCTCTCCCCTTGTCCTCTCTCCCCTTGTCCTCTCTCCCCTTGTCCTCTCTCCCCTTGATCTCTCCCATTGATCTCTCCCATTGATCTCTTTCCTCTGTCTCTTCTCGGTCTCTCTCCTTGATCTCTCTCCTTGATCTCTCGCCTTGATCTCTCCCCTCGATCTCTCCCCTCGATCTCTCCCTTTTGCTCTCCTGGTTCTTGTTTGTCAAAATTTCCCTGGAATCTTTTTGCACTGTTGCAATCCTCGTCAGCCTTGAAAATCCAGCACATACCACCCGCTG